GACAAGGATGAGTTGAGGTGAATGTCTTAAGGCCACTTTAGAGGGAATATTAGAGGGAATAAAAAACAAATCGGGGAATATTATATGCATAGCCGGCAATATACCATTTGGAATGTGCTGAGGTTCCACAACTAGTGAAAACGGACTATTCAAATATCAAGTATCAAGTAAGTAAGCAATAACGCATAAAGAACGTCTTCAAGAAAAGTACAACATTGAAACTGTTGGTATTTAGCAGCTTGTATAAGTATAGAAACTTTAGAAAAAGCAGAAAACGCGTCGTCCTTGGCGTCGAGGCTTAAAAATGATCACTGGTATTGGAAAAGTGACGAAAGTTCTGCGAGTGGAATGTGATCGTTTTCTCACTTTGACACCCTCCTAAGAAGATGAGAACACAAAACTTGTGTCAGAATCTGTTAGATTTATGCTGTCAAATGCCGACGAAATGCTTGGTGAAAAGCCATCAACAGACTCAGCTGGGTCAATAAAGCAAATTGAGCTTGAATATAATTCTATTTTTGCTGCTATGACGCACTAGAAAAATTTCAGGAACAAGCACAGTATAAAAATAGGCGAGATTCAAGCCTTTGAATAACCATTGAAATTCTGAGAAGAAAATCTCTATTGCGAAAAGGGCCCTCGAGATGACGGAAGTTAAAATGATCCTTGTGGTCCGGAAATGGTTGATATAGTAAGATTCTAACAGAATAGATATCTCGTCAAGTGTCTCTCCACGGCAGTTCGATTTTTCGAACACTGTGCCGTTGAAGATGCTTCGACAAACTTTTCAGCTATTTTTTGAGATGATTGCTTTTCAATAATCTCTAGCAGTGGACAAGCTTCATATGTGCCTAAATGGTGTGCCTAGAAGAATCGCTGCACATGACACATGGTCCAGCATAATTCATGTGTGGTTAGCATTTGGTCGTTGCTCAGTATGTTTTTCTTAGAGGCCTAAAATTGATGTGCTTGATTTTTGGCCGGTTGACACACAGTCTGACCTTTTTGGCTGCAAGTGAAACTCATCATCGCACTTCAGTCTTCATTCCAAGTTGGCAGCTACACCTGGTACTCTATTATAAGCTGAACTTCCGCAGGGTATTATCGACTGCTTTTCAAAACCTGCAAAATTTCAATATTTCTATAGCAGTTCATATGAATGACTGCTATTTTTCTCGCTGCATATACCTATGGTTACTGAAGTTATCTAGTTACAGAAAATTATAATAGTTATCAAACACACAGTGAGTCATAGTAGCCCATTCGAGCTTCCCATACTAGCCATACGGCTACAGCATCTCACACAATCGGCCGCTGTGTTCGTGCAAGCGGCAACTGTTTCGCGCATCAGATGGCCAGTGTTGTGCGGGTGAACTATTCAGAACGTAATGAATGATTTATTAGAAAGACGTGATCTCACAGTAATCGACCAGTGCTGTGCTGGCAAACCATTCGTAGGTTATAGCAAACGATACTCTTGGAATTTGTCACGCTCACAAGGAGTGCCATTCGACTATGAACCCCACTTGAGCTCGGCTGGAACTCTCATCCCTCTTAATTCGTAACTCATCTCTAATATAGAAGTTTGCTCCTTATTACACTTTACATGTGCAATGTGCAAGCTTATCCCCCATTGGACTTCACATCTGTAATAAATAATCTTATTCTAAATTAACTCCACATGTATAAAGTAGAGACTTGCTCCTCATTACACTTACGTCTGTAGCACAAAATCTTGCTCCCAAGGACACTTCACATGTGATACAGATGCTTACTCCTGATTACTCAAATAATTGTTCATCTCTCATATTTAGAACCACTGATTGCATAGTCTTTACCCAAGCCCTCTGTAAGTCTATCGACATTGCCGTCTTGCTATTGAATGTTACCTCCGATGAGTAGAAGAGCGGACTCAAGGGTTTCTAAGCTTCAAGAATTGAAACTATGTTTCTCTAGAACGAGAATAGCCCATAGTCCTGTGATTTAAATGGTTGTTATTCGTAAGCGAGTCCCGTCCAATGCTGAATGGATAGAATGTACTTTTCAGGGTGCGTAGGCAAATCAGTTGTTTTGCAGGAATTTCTACCTGACTTTGTACGCGAATCACTGTAATGGCGTCATCAAGCAAACTGCGGAACAGTGTTCCACGCAGTCGTTTTTACTTATCTTGTGAAGAACATCGGCAAGGTGGCGAACTCCATGCAGTATTTTTGATCTATTAAAATCATACCTTTTCTTCTAGGAGCGAATCATTTTATCACTCGCAAGCGTTGTTGCCTGTGCGGCTCGTCGAGTTTGAAGACGAAGACACCAAAACATGTGCCGATTCTAAGCTTTTATATCAACCTTATGCTCGCCAAAATATAAAAAGAGCCTCTTGCTTTTTTTTTCCAAGTAAGAATAGATTGATGTGAATGCGTTATGGCCACTTTAGGTTGAAAGTTCACAGCATGATGGTACTTTTTAAAATTCAGCTAACATAAGACTGATGTAAAACGTGCCTCGGTGGTGTAGTGGTAGTACCGCATCCCCGGTGTGGATGAGACGCGGGTTCGATTTCCGCCCGAGGCCGTGTTTTTGCTCACCACTCAATTCTATTAGGTATATACTGATATAAACATTTTTATTCCATCTTTGTCTTTGCCAAAGCCGACTATTCGAAGACGATATGGCTGAAACGTCAGCCGAATGAAGCCTCTATATCAGCTTTGTCTCACTATGTCATTAAGAATAATATCGAATATTACTTTTATGGTTCAATGGAAATCGCTCTTCAAGAATTGTTTCGCTATCTGCTAGCTATTCTGCACCTAATGTCACATGATGGATTGCCGATAATGAAGAGAAGCAACGACTATCAATGAAAAATCATCATCAAACAACATCCGTCTTGTATACAAAACACCGTCGAAAAAGGTTACTTCATTTGAGCGGTGCTTTGGTAAATCACATTCAGTTTGGTATAGCAACAGAGAACTACATCACATTGATGAAAGACTGCCAAATACCGACTTGAATTAGTCAGGTCCGATGAAGACGAAGACTTCAAAAGATTGTCCAGTCGAAAGCTTTTATAAATTTGAGCTACAAAAATTTTGCTTCTTGCAGTGCTATGATGGTGTAGCTATGTTTCAAGGGGAGAACAGAGCGGTGCCTTCGAAATATAGTGAGAACAGCGTTCACAGCATGACAATATGGTTCAACTCCAACTTGAGACTTGAAGTTTATTACTTCACTCAGTATGTTTGAATATCGCCTTTATACCTTCCCTCGTGTCAGCTAAATCGCAAAAAAGCAACCTCTGTGTGGCCAGGTTTTTTTGAGGAACATTGTCCTGAAAACTAGGGTTGTAAATGAAGTTAGGCGTCTCATATCAGAGAACATATCATATTTTTTGAGTGGAACTAAAACTCGCTACTGTGTTTTCCCCCCTAGGAACTGCCACTTAACAAGAGTGCACTTTGTTTGGCGATGATGAGTGTTTTACTGACAGCGAAGCGTTAAGTCGATTAGTGATGAAGGTTTACAAAGAATTACTAGTAGCAGTGGCATTAACATATCACATATTTGTTGAAAATCTTTATGCAACCGTAGTGTATGAAGAACCACTTATGACTGTGTTTCATACCTTTATTTCGAGTGTTTTATTAAGACCACGCTCAAATTTCAATACATCCTTACATTATCATTCAAGCCAACATGTCATGTGGTCTGGTGACACTATGAGTTTTTATATTCATGGAATCTTTTTTTCCGTAATTTTATGACACTATAATTTTTCGCGCATCGTTATGATGTCCAAATAATACTAGCTGCAATAAGCCAGGAGCATGAGCAATTATCCAGCAATGCTTACTGAGAAGTGAAATACGAATGGGGAATTTAGTGATTGTCGGAGGTGTTCATAATGGGATTAGAAGTAGCAGAAATGAGATCAGCCACTACCACTGCGCCATTAGGTTGGTGCGAATGTAACTTCGGTTTCAAACTGTGCTAAAGCGGCAGTGATCTTTTGATTTGCTTCAAATGGCCAAGAATGGTTAAATTGTTGACTTTGAGTTTTTCTGCAACATCTCGTATAGTGTAAAGAAGATCAGCGTCGATGACTGCTTTTCCAATAATTTCTGATGATGTTGGTATAGAAGTAACCGCTGTTTATGTAAAGATGCAATTTAATTCCTCGATCATGCCTCTTGAACCACCAATAAACTGAATGTTCGCTACTAGTTTTCTAGGATCAAATGCTTTGTTGATGATGTGAGCTGCCTCGATGCTTTACGATTTCATATACTCACGATCAGAAACCGTGATTATTTTTGCACTGACTAATGTCCATTCCGTAGTCTAAGTGAGTTTAAATAAACACCAAGTGTTACGTCATTAGCAACAAAACATGAAGCGAGAAATGCGCGTTGTAATGATCTACAATATGAACTTATTTATTCATGAATCTTTTCCAGTATCAACGTTGCATTTCAAGAATGCATGAACCACAATAACTTTTCACTATCCCAATATTTCTTTCGTCGAGGTTTTTAGTAATTAATCTATCAATGTCTGTCGGGTAGCTATTTTTGCATAGGTCGAAATAGTTTAGTGAAAGGTGTGGAAGTAAGAGGTACAATACTCATTGACAACCGAAGTTCAAGAACACTTTATTCAGCAAACACCTTTAACTGGATGGTGGCTGTTCCTTCACTATTAAAGAGATATGTTTGTTCAGAACCGCAAAATACGCACCACTCTTGTTTGTTACCTGAAGAAAAATGCATTACATAGCTATACAGACTTGAAATCACCCTATCGAAATCTATTGAAGTTTTATTGAGCTGAAATCTATGAAGTAAACCAATATGTCTACTTGGTTCTTTCGGCTACAAGGAAACAATAAGATTATTCAATGTCATTCACAGGATAGGAACTTTTCATGGGATGTAGTCGATCGAAAGTTTTACTCTGGCTGAAGCCGCACATAGCCGCTTTTCGAAAACAGTACTTTATAACGATGTAAAATCCAAAATAACACTTTTTCACAAGCACATATTTCTTGTCGGACAGAGCTCTCTTTTTATAGCTGTTGATCCCCGAATAACTGCTATTTTCCTTCCCCTTCCATGCTTATTCCTATCGCATATCATCAAATAATAAATATTCTAATTGTAGATAATTCAAAAGGTCAGGCAATGAGTCATAGCAACGGTTAGCGACTAGCGCCGGCGGAAGGACTGTTTTTTGATTGCAGCTGGCATTTCGAAAGCTTTTCCGGCAAGAAGAGACAGAAAAACTCTCGTGCCACTGTCAAAGGGCACGGCTCCGATGGCACTTTATTCGCCTCAAATTCCTTCGTAGTGGTCGCCAGCATCCGATCTCAATGTTTACCTTTGTCTTCATCTTATCCTCTACCTCTACATTGATAATCATAAATTAAAATGATGCTACGCCTCCTCAGTAAGTGGCTAAACAAGTCTAATGCACAATGTTCGTAAGCTCTCAGTGGTATTTCACGCGAGTCTCTACTGCCATATCAATCCACTTCTTAATCACTGTGTTAAATTTAACCTCGTCATTAGGCTCCTCCCCATCTGGATGTTGTGAAACTAACTTCGCTTCCTATTACGCCGCTCTCCAAAGTGCTCGTACTCGTCACTGTATTGTAATCTCTTGAGTAACTCACTATAATGTTCAAGTAGGGTTCCATTTAATACTATTGTATCTTATTCTAAATCCGCACATCACTTCATAGCAGCAGCCCTTCTCGGAGTAACTGTCGCACCTCAGGAGAGCATTGTGACTTGCTCTATTTACGTAAATCATTTCAATGAACTGCTTTTCAATACTTCGCTATTCTTCGTAAAGTCTTCATCTAACTTGTAGGTACATCAACTAATATCGTTAGATCTTGCCTTATGTTATAATAAAATACAAAGTTTAATTATCCAAGCTTGAAGATGTCTGATCTACAGCAACAAGGAGCTGAAGTCGCGCGTTTCGAAAATTACAAGGTGAGCAAAGTCTCAGCCAATACACTTTCACACCATGAGTAATTATTCGATAGCGCGAGTTTCAGTGATCCCAACGTTATGTTTGTTTTCCGAAAAGACCGTTTCTATGCAATGTAGCAGGAAGAATAAGCTTGAAATCGTAGGTGCGCGTAAGTGGCCTTTGGTCAGTTCACGGGCCAAGTGAGGCGGTTAGGTGAGCTGACGCGATATCAATCGATCTTCGGCCAATCCTGTGAAAGTGCGATTTTTGCTATTCACTTGGGGACCGTTTCTCCGATTTAAAGGAAAAAATGGAGAAAACGTATGACTCTTTTACAAAAAAGCTTTAGATACTTTTATTTTGGCTACGAATATGATTAAATTAACCATCATTATGATCACCTTGACGGAATTCAGGAGCACAGAACGTCCTAATTCCTTCCAACAGTGACTCAAAGACATTCGGATACTACGAGATTATCTGTACACATTCATATGCTCAGAAATTGATCAACTATCACGCCAGCCCATCTACAGCCTCATTCAGCGCTCCGTGAATTGGCGAAAGACCATTTGCTCGCGCATACGAATTCAATGGCATTTTTCCTGCAGCACTGCAGAGAACAGTTTCTTCCAGAAAATAAGCACAACATTGAGATCACTGAAACTCACGCTATCGAATGATTACTAATAGTCTAGGAAAGTAGCTCTGTCCGGCTCAAATACGCATGCGTGAAGCATAACCTATTTGCAATTTACACCATCATAACAAGGTCTTTCAGAAAACCAGCCACACAACGCTCTACTCGGAGATTTAAATCTTCGAATTGTTGGTAGCACTCGCATGAAAACTTCTTGTCCACCATGAGGCGTAGTTTCTTCATTTTGTCTCCTTATAACCGAAAACAATCGCATATTTTATATGCGAAACAGGATCAAATTCATCTTGAGAGATGCGAGGAGAGCTTTTCTGGAGGAAAAAGTGCTAGTGTTCCAGTTTGTTATTCTTTGGGCGCTGTCACACATTACACTACTACTTGTTCTTGATGAAGCTGGAGAAACTTCATCAGTCGTTTTGAGTAAATGAGTTTTACACTTTCCATTGAACAAAAGTGACGAGAATATCTGCACTCATTGATATTTCTAGCTGCCTAGCTTCACCGAAACTATTATATATCAACGTACCAGTTTGGTCAGACGACGCTAAACAAACTGCACAGAATTGCTACTTCACAGCTTCTAGGACTGTTATCACTTCCCGCAAAAGAAAAATAGTCACAATAAAGCTTATGAGAGAAAAATAGACGACAGACTCAGAAAATTGGCCTTATCTTGTGTTAAGAATCTATTGAATATAAATTCATATTGTTAGAAGCAAAGACAGTGCAATGACGAGGTGCCGTTCACCAACGCTTTGGACCTCGCTTCGCCTTCCTTGTCCAACAACGCAGCTCATCTGATTCGGCTCAGAGATGTAGTGTGATACTAGCTCGGTAAACCCATGCTGATCAAAAAGCTGTTGATTACCTGTAGAGAACTTTTGTGTACGTCTCAAATCGGCTATTCCGGGTTCTTAGAAGGTATGAAGTC